TCCTATTGGTTCTTTATTCTATTAATCTATCTACCTACATATCTCCATCCATGTGAATTAGCCTATCTATCGATCTATCTATATTTTATGTATGTTTTAGGGTGTCTATCTCAGAGATATGGTTGAGAGGCGAGTCACGCACAGTGTTGCCAGATTGACTATATATGGAAACTCAGCGCTAATAAAATTTGAAATGTAGTTCCTATTAAGAGACAAGCTTGTCTTAAAAGCAGCCTAAAACATTTCAAGTAAAAATAAATTCAAAATTTAGTAGCGATGGCCTTCCGAAATATTACAAACCGGTAACGCTAATAACGCAAACTGTTTTCAAGTGTATATATATATATATATATATATGAAAATGAACATTGAACACTTAGAGGCGACAGGCTGTTTCATGCTAGACTTAATCGTCAGGCCACGCTATACCACAAGTGGCTCTCGTGCATTGTACAGATTAAACCACCATGTAATATATATATATATAAATATATATATATTAAGTATGTGGTGCAGTTCAATTTACATTACATGAATGATTTTTGTATGAATGATTCATGTAATATATATATATATATATATATATATATATGTCTGGTTTCCATATTTAAACGATATCGTCTTTACAGCAATTTTGAGCGATCAGTTTCTGACAACAAAGGATTAAGGTAAAAAGTTGTCTAATGCAATCAATGAAAAATCTGGTAGTATCGATCTGGGATTGATTTTGAAGGAGAAAACTTCCTATAGTCGGTGATGATTCACATTCTGTCAAATTCAGACCCAGTGATCTATTTGCTACACTCAGACAAAGAGCGCCACCTGTTGGCAGGATTTGTGATGGTAACCCGAAAACGGTATATAATTGAACTGCCAACTCATCTGGTATATATATATATATATATATATAATGGACTCTCCCGTCGGTTTCGACGTATGAGGATCTGACAGCTTATTGATTCAGTAATGAAAGTTTATGCGATAATCTTAAGTGGCACTTAAGACCAATAAGAACGAATCAAGGTAAACCGCCAGAAAAGCCACACAAGTGATTTGATTAAAGTGGTGAAGGCTTGTGTAGAACCATCCACACTTTTCAGAACTATTGATACACTTAGTCGGTGCAAATAAATGCCACAGACGAAGCAGACAATAGAACTCAGGCTTTTCGTATAAGAGTTTTCCATCTCCTAGACCAATCGTGTTCTATAACACTAAAGAGCTTGGTCAGCCCTGGTAGACATAATTTGTTCATAGTTGGGACCCTAACAGGTGCTACCACCCCGGGTCAGGGCGGACCTGGGAACAACAGCAATTAAAAGGTGGCTCCACGCTCCTTAAATCCTTATATATATATATATATATATATATATATATATATATATATATATATATATATATATATGTGTGTGTGTGTGTGTGTGTGTGTGTTTGTGTGTGTGTGTTAGTGTATATAATTTGTATTAAGATAGCAGTTTTTTTTTATTAATGCAAGTTTGATTAAAGTGGGCAGACAAGTAATGTATGGTTACAATGAATGTAAATATTCTTCAGACGTTTGTGCTCGGACCCTTGAAGCCATTCTCAAGATTTGCCTGTTTCTGCGGATGTGTCCTGTCTACTTATAATTTAATATACAAGGAAAAATAAATAATTCCGTAGCGTGACATAATTATTAGCTAAATTTTGATCTGAAACGTTCAAAGTAATGTAATTATTATTGAAATTCAGTCTGAAATGAAGTCTTTGTCGAATAAAAAAATAATAATAGTATGGAAGTCATGAATAGCAAATTGACAGCGATAATTAAGAATGCCTCAGCAGAGATATCAAGAAAAACAAACGGAAGTAGCTATAACAAAGGGAAGTAACTCAAAGTCAACAAAACCTGAATCATACTAAAAAAATGTTCCCAAAGTCATGTGACAATTGGCAGAATACATACATTTGTGAAATAGCAACCAGGGAAAATTGGCATGATATCATCTTCCAAAGTTCGACCAATAAAATTTCTTTATAATATATTGTCACATGCTAAACCATGATTCTATTTGGTAAATAAATATAAAATGTTATCAATGGTAATGTGACTTTTGGAACACTCTGTACATCAGCCACCCACGTAGAGAAACAATAAATCCAGTATTGAAAGGAAAAAAAAGGGCGTGAGTAAATGTAGGGACGAGACGTTAAAAATAAATGATGATTGCCCCTAATATCTGTATGCTGTTTAGGAAAAACATCACCACCAGTTAATCCGGCTGTTACGAGTGAGGTTCATAAGGCAACAACATCAAAATAACTAAACAGTAAATCCTGTCTGTCTGTCCGTTCGTGTATCTGAATATATACATATAATAATAATAATAATAATGGACTCTCCCGTCAGTTTCGAGATATAAGGATCTGACAGCTTATAGATTCAGTTATGAAATTGTGTGCGATAATCTTAAGTGGCATTTAAGACCCGCTAGTGATTTACAAAGGAGGCCACATATGGAGCAAGTGTGAGAATTGCGAGATGAGATCACTGTTAGATTGGCTGACCTTTTAGATATTGCTCTCGTTTCTTGAATATGATTCAGACAAGCAATTTTTATTGTACACAACCAGTAAAATATGAAATACGATATAATTGTACACACAGGTCAATCTAGTAATGAGTGCCACTAATTGGAAGGTCGGACGTGCTTGCGTCGTCGTCTCTCTCTCACTCTTAATATTTAACAGCCCCACCACGAGGGATGTATGCGGCACAAAGCCGAGTTTACCGTGGGTTCTCCGAGCCCGTAAGCTTAGCCAAAAATATTCCTTTAGAACCCGCATAAGCGGATTCAGGGTCTGTCTATCACCCCTGAGGAAACACTGCCCTTCGGCAAAGCCTCGTCCGGGTTCCTCTCTGCTCAAGGCAAAGAGTTCGACAGTGAGGAACAAGAGAGAGCACTGTTCTCTCTCTCATTCTTTCCCAAATCTCTCATAGACGGTTGGCTTTATAGCTACTTACTTCCTATAGTGTAATCATTCATGGGGGTGACTGGTTATTCCATTACATCAATACTTGATAAGACACCAGAAGTGTTGAAACAAAATGACTAGTTTTGTAGTGATTTTATAACATGTTTATGTTATAAATTTCGAATAAATAATTATATATATATATATACTTTTTGTAATTAGGATGTCTTCCGGGATTGAAAATTTGGCCTTCATCTGGTGCTTGAACATCCAGAATTGGGATTTGTGTGCGGATGTGGAGGAAACAATTTAAAATTAAAATTAAAATAACTGAAAATTTTTAAAAATTATTGAGTTTAAAGAAACACAAAAACTTTGTGAATTTAAGAAAAATTGTTTTAAATTCAGTTTAAAATATCTCATACAGTTTTTGAATTGAGGAAATCAATTTTATTTCTTCAAAAAACCAAGGAATCAGAGTTAAAGTGAGAGCTTTCGTGGCGTGAGGTTTTGAAGTTCCGAAGAGTTTGTCATTTGAAGAACTCAACTCAATTGAAGTTTCATGGAGTCTGTCATTTGACGAACTCAATTTTTAATTATAATTTCGGTCCAAATCGGACTTCTGACCCAAATCGGTTATTAGGTCGGAATTGAATTTACAGCCCTAATCAGAGTTAAAATGAGGTTTTGAAGCTCTATGGAGTGAAATTCAAAATTCAAAATTTAAAATTATTTCTTCAAAATTATCATTCCTGTTTTCTAAGCTGAACCAGAGATTCCGTTAGTTTTGTGTCAGGAGCAAAATTAATTTGGTTTCGTTTTGTTTTACGGCATATCAACCTTAATGGGTTATTTAATGCCGACAAGATTTTTATTGCCGGTAATATTTTTTTTCCAATAATATATTGGTGGTAAAATTTTTTTTTCAAAAATATATTACTGCTAATATTTTTTCCAAAAATGTATTGCTGCTAATATATTTTTACAAGATAAGAACAATTGAATATAAGTATGTTGATCATAAAATTTATTAAAATCTGAAAACTGAATGGTGGAAATCCTGCCTGTTATCATTCAGGTTTGGTTTGGTTTGGTTTACGGCATATCAACCTCAATGGCTTATTTAATGGCAACAAGATTTTTTATTGCTGGTAATATTTTTTTCAAAAATGTATTGTTGGTAATATTTTTTTTTCAAAAATATATTGCTGGTAAAATTTTTTCCAACAATATATTGCTGGTAAAATTTTTTCCAAAAAGGTATTGCTGGCGTTAAAACCTATTTTTATACTTTCATAGTGCGTTGACCCTTTTGGGTGGGGGATTAACTATTTGCCTATAGCTGGGACCCTGATAGGTGCTAATATCCCTGGTCAGGGTGGACTTGGGGAATACCTGCAAATAAGAGGTGATTACACGCTCCGTAAAACCTTCTGATCAAAGGGCTGGCTGCCGGATGTAGTTTATCGTCTTACCCAGGACGCAGATGTAGTTTATCGTCTTACCCAGGACGCGGATGTAGTTTATCGTCTTACTCAGGGTGCAGCAAAATTAGCCCTTTACGGGCCAGTATGAAATAATGCTTGGGCATGAAAATGCAAAAACACCAGGCAAAAACAGCATCGTCAGATGTAGAAGAATTTCATAAAGTGTTGTGGTAGGATCCACCTAATTTGCATAGTGGAGTACCGACTATATAAATATGGGAAGAGACGGAGGAATCAAGAGATTCACTCTCAGTCGAACTCTCTGCATTTTGCAGTGGGGGATCCGGATGAGGCTTTGCCGAGAGGCAGGGGTTTCGTCCGGGGTGGTAGACAGGCCTTGAACCCGTCTAGGCGGGTTCAGAAAACCATTTTTTGGCCGAGCCTACGGGCTCGGAGATACCACTTTAAACCGGCCTTGTACTTTATTTTATCCTCGTGGGTGGATAGATAAATACAGGAATCAAGAGATTCAACCAGAGACTCTGCCCGACTGCGACTCAGTCAACACATTCTCCAGGAACGGTCTTACCAGGAATATACAAAAGATTATATGTAAATATTGTGTACACTTTCTTGTTTCAATACATTTTGTTTTAAGTACATTTTATGTTGCATTATTATTCCATGCATTAGTCAAGTTTCAACATATATATATATATATATATATATATATATATATATATATATATATATATATATATATGGGGTGTGGGTGGTTTTATATTGAAGAAATAACAACAATGACAGTAATATAACGTGTAATAAATATAAAGAACCAAATATTTAACCTTGCATTCATGGCGTCATAATAGCATATCAAATCATCATGTTATATATATATATATATATATATATATATATATATATATATATATATATATATATATGTGTGTGTGTGTGTATGTTGTGGTAGGATCCACCTAATTTGCATAGTGGAGTACCGACCATATAAATATGGTTGGTACCGGGAAGAGAGGGAGGAATCAAGAGATTCAACCAGAGACTCTGTCCGACTGCGACTCAGTCAACACATTCTCCAGGAAAGGTCTTATCAGGAATATACAAAAGACTATATGTAAATATTGTGTACACTTTCTTGTTTCAATACATTTTGTTCTAAGAACATTTTGTGTTGCATTATTATTCAATGCATTAGTCAAGTTTCAACATAAAGTATAAACGGAAAAGAGAAGCATCACATCGTTTTAGTCTACAAATAATTTTGTTTTGTTGATTTGTTTTTTTTTTACCGTTTAACTACCATTTGTTGGTTATTTAAAGCCAGAAAATATTTTCATATTATAAGATTTTTTAGAGATAATAAGGATTTACTGATATTTAAACTAATGTGCACGTTCGATTTTGATATTCTAAATTTTTAGTTCGGATCTTTGGCTTTTTATCTTGCCGACCACCATATTCCTAACATCTTAATCAGTCCTTTTTTCTCTCTTTCTTTTTCGATCTTATCTCGGAGGTTCTAGAGTTTTCTTTCCGTGTTTTCCATCAACACTGCCATCTGCATACCCGATGTTTTTAAGATTTGAGTTGCCCACCGATAATAAATCTTGGACGGTGTAGAGTTTGATTAAATCCGGTGAGAAGTCCCGTCCTTGTCTTACGCCCTTTTCTATTTCCTTTTCTATGTGTACGCGGGCGGTTTGTTCCCAATATAACTTTATAGCAATACAAATATATCCCGATGCATCCTAATATATATATATATATATATATATATATATATATATATATATATATATATATGAAACTTGAATAAAGCATGAAATAATAATAATACAACACAAAATGTACTTAAACAAAATGTATTGACACAAGAACGTGTACACAATATTTACAGAAAAATAAATAAAGTCTAAACATTTTACGAGTTTCTGATGACATTTTACTCATATCTGAATCATTGGATAAATTAAAAGTCGGTTGAAAACGGGCAGAAAACAAAAGTAACGTTAAACGGTCATACGATAAAGAAGATGAAGAACTGGAGGCATTCCAGGAAGACATATACTTAGTAGAGAAGATAACATTAAAGACGTCGGAAATTAAATAAAAAGGAGAACGACGAAAGGTTAGAAAAATAAAAAAGAATGATAGAATGGAAAATAATTTGAAAGTGAACATATAATGAAAGAATATTAACAGCCGTGTCGTATGTTGCATAAAACAGGAATGAACAAAACTGTTTTGAAAAAAGGATTAAAACATGAGCAAATGATGAACGGGATGAGCAATATTCATGATAGATCTAAGGGACGCAAAGAAGTTAAATGAATCAGAGTTTGATAAGAGAAATCATAGAAAACATTAAACGACAAAAATAGCCGCAGATGGAAAAAATCATCGATGGTTCAGACGGTAATAAATACAGTAAAATGTCGCTTGATTAGTTCCCAGTGTGTGCTGAACGTAGTAGAAAATGACTCGACAGATGATGCTGGAATGAAATGCATTTCCTTGTGAACAAAAAAAAAAAATAAATAAATAAATAAAAACAGCAGAAAATAACGCAGTACACATGGAAGGAATTTAGAAATAGTTTTACCTGAAGTGGATTTTATATATTTGGTTATGTCACAACTCAACCTTTTACCTTGTCACATGGATATCTGTACATAGACGCACAGATACTCCATACATACATGCATATATACATATATATATATATATATATATATATATATATATATATGTGTGTATTTGTGTGTGTGTGTGTGTGTGTGCGTCTGTGTGTGTATGTGTGTGAAGAAGAGATAAATCGTTTATACATATAAACATTGCGGACATATTTGATCACATTAAGAGGTGAAACTTATTATGCGGTACTGATTCCTATCCCCACACAGTTTCTATCTATCTATCTATCTATCTATCTATCTATCTATCTATCTATCTATCTATCTATCATCAGTCTGTTCATATCTATCTATCTATCTATCTATCTATCTATCTATCTATCTATTTGCCCGTTCATATCTATCTATCTATCTATCTATCTATCTATCTATCTATCTATCTATCTATGTCTGTCAGCGTATCGGTCTGCTGCATGAGCTAGTTGCGCATCATCCTATGGCACCATAAATTCGATTCGATTCTCAAGAATCCATTTCTAGGCAAGGATTTTGAATTATCATTCTTTCAGGCAAAAGCTAACATTCTTTATCGAAGGATTGAATCGATACATTCTGTCTTTTTTAATTTGCCCTTGAATTGCACTGAACTTCTATCCAGATATTTACTAAGCGTATTGTCGATTACTAGGCGGCTACAAACCTGAGTGATCTACGAGAATAACTGATTAGCGAGAAGGGATTGTTTGCCATGGCATTATAATTGACGCAATTAGCGGTATGTTCTAAGCTATAATTAGCACGAAAGAAAGCCAGAACTGTAATGATGTAATTCAAAGCAAATCTCTCTATATATATATATATATATATATATATATATATATATATATATATATATAATGGACTCTTCTGTCGGTTTCGACGTATGAGGCTCTGACAACAACCATTTGATTCAGTTATGAAATTTTGTGGGATAATCTTAAGTGCCACTTAAGACTCGCTAGTAATTTACAAAGGCGGCTGCATATGGAGCAAGAGTGAGGACTGTAGGATGAAATTACTGTTAGATTGGCTGACCTTGTAGATATTGCTCTCGCTTTTAAAACACGTTGACATGAGGTATATATATATATATATATATATATATATATATATATATATATATGCTATAAAAAGAGTCAAAAAGCGACTGGCTGCATTATACTAAATAGTTCCTCTGGTATAAACAAGTGTTTAATTGATTGCGGTATTTGGCATGTGAATGTTGCTGTTGCGTTCCGGGCGTCGCCACTCTTTTCAATCTTCCAGACCCCAACGCAAATTCGTAGACTGCATCAACAAATTATTCATTGTGTCATACAAGAGGGGCAACGGGGTAGTATCAATTCTAGGAGTTAGTGGGGGGGGGAGATTTTCAGGAGAATGCGTGTCGGTTCCTTGGCCACGTGAGGGCCATCCTCTCCGAGGAATCTGGGTGTGTAAAGCGTGTCGACTCTTAAAAATTCTTGCGGTCCTCCGTTGACTTCGCGCCGTTGTTTGGTATATAATTTAGAAAAAAAGGCAATCGATCACTGTCAGAATTCAAACGCCCACGAGGTATTCTGACCAATCACTTGCCATTCTTGCCAAGCCTCTACATTCTGGGACGTAGGAAAACAGAAAGAAAAGAGTCCGGTTGGAGTACAACGATAGAGAAAATGTGTTTGTGTGTGCGTGTGTGCGTGTGTGTGTGTGTGTGTGTGAGAGAGAGAGAGAGAGAGAGAGAGAGAGAGAGAGAGAGAGTGAGAGAGGGATAGAGAAAGGAAGTGATAAAGAGCGAGAAAGACAGGGGTGAGAGAGAATTTGAAATGCGGTTCCAGCCACATTCTCAGTTTTCAACCCTGAAAAAACGCCCTGCTTCTTGTCTGTTCTTTCCATTAGAAGGCATGCAATTGGCAATCCAAGAAGGGAAAATAGCTTTCGATGTAGGCCTTCCCTATCCCCTCAATCAAAAGAAAATCTATACACACAATGAAGAAAGAGAGAAATTTATCACACACATACACACAAAAAACAAAACAAAATACAAACAATCAAACAAACAAAAACAACAACAAAAACAACCAAACAATAAAATAAAACTAAACAAAAGTATATAACGTATTCTTCAAAAGTGAATCTCGTAATTGCAACGGCAACATCAGGCGTTTTCTTATTACTGGCCGAACAACCAGTGATAAATTACGCTTGTTCCCACTCCCTGGTTATCAGGCTGGTATGAATGTAAAATTCTATCTGTTCTCCTCATCTCTAATATAATAGCAATATTAGCCGTTTCCTCATAAGGAACCATCCAGTATTCATACACCGAGCAGCCAGTGCTACTCGAGTTACACTTCTCTTCACTTTCTAAAGTTCCGTTCTTTTCATCTCTAATGGAAATGATTATATTGTTTCCTTATAAGGAACCAATCAGCAATCATTTATCGAGCTGCCTTTGTTACACGCGTTACACTTTTCTTTACTCTCAAAATTGTAGTATCTGTTCTTCTCATCTCCAATGGCAATGATAATATTAGCCGTTTACTTTTAATGAAGCACCCGGCATTCATTCACTGAGCTGCCAGTGTTACTCGATTTGCACTTCTCTTCATTCCATGACCTTCGAGCACTGATCAAAGTGTCGTGTCTGTTCTCATCTGTAATGGTAAAATTAGCCGTTTACTTATAAGGAAACTTTTGGCATTCAATGACCAGTTGAAATTTATAAAATATTTTAATATTTTTTTTTCAGTAGTGAAGGCGTTTTCCTTCTTAACTTTTTGTTTGAAGTTGTGTGGAATAATAATTATCGCTACACGTTGAAATTTTATTCCAGTCATAATAGTCTGATTTTCTTGGAGTTAAGTGACAACGTGTCTCCTGAATACACCAGGGATCTCTCCAGTATTCTAGATGACTTAGAATGGTTGTTTTGTTTTATGGCATATCAAAACCTCAGTGAGTCATTTAATGCCAACAAAAATTTTGAAATAGACTCATAGCGATTGTTTGGTAAAAAAAAAGGTGTGTATGTATACATATATATTTGAACCATTTTTCAATTGCTCATATTTTTTAGCACAATCCAACTTCTCAAGAATGTATAGCTGTTCGTATTACTGGTATTTCTTTTTTTAAAGTATTGCTGATAATGATAATAATAATGATTTTTTAAATTATTGCTACTAATAATTTTTTTATTAAAAAGTATTTCTGGTATTAAAACCTATTTTTACACAAATTTGGATGTTAACTATTAGCCCATGGTTGGGATCCGAACAGGTGCTACCACCCTCGGTCAGAGTGGACCTGGGAACACCAGCAATTAAGAGGTGATTCCACACTCCTCAAAACCTCCTGATCTTGCTGTTGGACGTAGTTTATCGTCTTGCTCAGGACGCGGATGAAGTTTATCGTCATACCCAGGACGGAGATGATTTAGAAGGGATGTTATTAATTTTATCATATCTGTTTTCTAATGCTCTTCAGAAATGAACTAATCGTCGCTATAACGACTGGGGCGACTGTTTTCTGCACATTTCACTTTTTTTGTCAGCTTACTGGCAAGTTAGATGTAGTTATACAACCACAGATTGGAGGTCCTTTTCAAGACCAACGACCAGGTTAGTTTTGTCAGAAATTTGCATAGATTAGTGTGAGCATATAAAATGTGCATATTACCGAAACATTGCAACAAATGAAACTAAGTCGTGAGTCGAGATATTTCTATGTGAAGTCATACAGGATTCAGTTGCACATATAAGGTCTGATAAATAAATATTGGTACTGTTGCTATGTTAACATAGTACGCAGAGTAAAGACGCTCAGCAAAGGTTGACCTTGAACACTGTCACACATACATGCTAGTTTATAAAGTTCTCCCTGCCTTATAGGAGTATTTGGAAGGAAAGTGTGTAGAGTGTGGTCGTCTCACCACACAACTGAGATTTCCTCGGTGACGATCACTTGTGCAGCAGTTTCTGGCCAAACAAAACGTTCTCCAGACAATATTCATCAGATTACGCCACTTTCCACATGAAAGATTTCAAGACGTCGAGGAAATCCGAGAGAATGTGATGTTATCCAAAAAATGAGTTCCAGAAATGCTTCCATCAATTGAAATGACGCTGGCTAAAGCTACTAATTTCAAGGAGATTAAATACAGACTTGATATGTGTTGTAGTTTTCTTTTCATAGCATCATCCCCTATGATATTTGAGCAGATATCGGGTCTTAGGAAACACACAGAGCTACTCTGTGTGTCCAATATAAAGGAGCTTTTGTATGCCTGCATTTAAGTTCAATGCCTTTAATCCGATGTTAGATTCTGCCATTGACCACATCCAGAAAATTTGGAAATGGCATACAGTATTGCTTGACATTCGCGCCGGATACTCTAACATTTCAGAATATTTCGCGATTAATCTGTGGACAGTTCAGAGAATTCGGAGAGAGTTGGATGAGTCTAATGTTGATTACAAGAGTACGATAGATCGGAAAAATCAATCTGTTCGTTTTGATAAGAAAATAACTCTTGGTATTTTCCAGTCCAGGATTGATAACGATCCCCCAAGTCAATCGGATCTATAGCCAGGGATATAGGAGTTTCTTATCAAGCAGGTTGTGGATGAAGACATTCGGTATTTCTCATACAAGATGTGAAAGAGCCAATTTTTATCCCAAGCCATGAAGGACAAGAAAAGAGACCGCGTTACAAAGCTTTTAAACACACTCAAGCATCCCATCCAGCGAAACATACATTGTTTTTTCTCAGACTAGAAATAGTTCTGCCAGGGTAAGATGGTGAACAAAAGAATATCGAGAATTATGAAATCCAAATATCCATTCAACAAAATGGTGTTTGGCATGATCACTAGGGATGGTGGCGTTAAGTCTTCATTCATCTTCCCACAGAATCTCGGACTCAACACGGAGGCATACATCAAGAGAAGGTAATGCTGACCTGGGTCAAGAGGGTGGCTGTTCAAAGACCTTATGTCTGGCAACAGAACTCTGCACCATGCCACACAAGTAGAAGAACCTAGTCATGGTTGTCAGACAATTTCTGTGACCACATCACACCTTATATCTAGCCACCTAGCTCACCAAACTACAATCCACTTGATTATTATGTGTGAAACGAAGTTGAACGAGAGATCAAGAAAACTTCTCGCAACACCAAAGATGAACTGAAGGCGAGGATTATGGTAGCATTCACCAACCTAAACAAGGGGTGAGCGCCCAGAAGAGATGCAGAAGATTCCGAAGTCGTCTGGAGGTTGTTGAAGCCAATGGTGATTTTATTCAATAAATCTCCGCTTTAGCATTTCAAGTTATTTTTAATGCAATTTTGGTAAATATATAATTTATATTTTTATATTTATATATAAATATATAAATGAGATATCAGTGTTATTTTGTATTTTTACGTAATTTAGACAACAAT